TTTTGTAATTATACTGTATTTGAAATTAGAATCTATTGTATATGGAATTTTCCTTGCTGTCGTTTTAGATTGCACATTGCAAATATATAGGGATACGTTGGATTTTTGTACACTGATCTCATCTCTCGCAGCCTTAGCTGTACTTGTTTATTAGCTCTTACAGCTTTGTCTGCGTGTGTGGATTTCCCACCCTACCCCCCTTCCTAACTCTATTTTTGCAATTGCTGATTCTGGAGAACTTACAAAGTACTGTGGTTTAAGAGGAAAACTTTCTTCATTTTCCAGGACTTGTGACTGTGGAGTGTATCAATGAAGCTATTGATGAAGGTGATCCTTTAAAGACACTAGAATGTATGCAATTAGCTACAGCTAAGATTAGAGATATAGACCCCGACAATGCCCAGCACTACCAGGATGTTTTATACCACGCCAAATCACAGAAACTGAAGGTAAGTCTCAGTATGTTCATTTCCTTCACATTTACAGACTAGAAAAGGGAAAAGGTGGAAGGGAGGATTTTTTTTTTTAACTCATCTTTTCCTAAAGCTTATGAGCCTCTTGTTCCAGCAGTTGCCCATGAATCAGAATGGAAGTAATAGCGCTGTCATTTTCCTGGCGTCAGGGGGAAGCCAGCTCCAGAGCTGATGACTGCTTCCACTCTTTTCCTAAAAAGTCAGTCGTGAGTGAGCTTTTTGTTCAGTGTCCCAAGGTCTTGGATATTTTCTGAGCACATGCTGTGTGCACAGTGCAGGCTATAGCATCTGGTACGGGAAAGGGGATCCAAGGAACACGTGACGCCATTTGAATGTCCTCTGTCCTTATCCTGAGTGCTGAAAAACTGATTGAGGCAGTGGGCATGCTCTGGTAGAATAGTTCAATAACAGTCGAGACAGGCATGTGGCAAAGTGTCGAAAAGAGGAGCGCACAGGGTGACGCAGAGATGGTTGGGATTGTTGCGGATTAGAATCCTAAGAGCGGTTGCCGTGGAGATAGAATAGAAGCTGTGCCTGAAAGGTAAGGAGGAGCTGGTTAGGTGGGTGGGAAGCAGGATGATTTAGGGAGGAGCCAGCATGGTTTGTTCTGGACACAGGACACTGACCTGGCCAGAGACCCCACAAAGAGCAGACGGTTTCTCTGACTGTGGAGCTTGTACTGATATTATAAGGAGTCAGACGGACACTGGCCACCATTAGAAGGGTACTGGGCCGAGTGGTGAGCCTTGTGTGACCTGGGAGGGGGAGTGATGCGGCCGGGGTGCTAGCCACTCATACCTTTCACGTCCCCATGGGTTAGCCAACCCAAAAGAGGTGAGCATCTCCTCTCTATGAGACTTTGGAGCCAGGAACTGCCTTATCTGAGATGGGAAATGCATCCTTGGTTAGAGCAAACATTTATTCATCACCTGATGTTTGCTGGGCACGATATTAGATACTTTGTGCATATTCTCACATATTCCTAATAACAGCTCTCTGAACTATCATTATCATCATCTTATAGAAAATGAAGCTAAGACCAAGTTGTCCAGTGTTACCCCCAAAAAAGTAATTATTTCTGAAACTATGCCCCAGTCTGTGTGACTCAGAAACATATATTAAAGCAGATGGAAAAGGATGTTTATTGCAACATTGTTTATAACAACCAAAGACAAAACAAACAAACAAACAAAACAAAAAACCAAGAACAACAATAAACTAAAATGTCCATCAGGAGGGGCTGGTTAAATTGCAGTGTAACCTTATATTGAAATACATAGAAAAGAATGAATGGTTCTATATTGGACAATCTATATAAGTGATCATCGCAACCAAACAGTCGACCAAACAGGCTGCTTGGGGTGACTAGGTCGGCAGGGGGGCAGTTAGTGAAGGGCAACCAAACAACCTAGCAGCAGGCTGCATGGGGTGACCAGGCCCTTGGGGGGCGGGGGCAACCAGGCCAGCATCAGGGCAGTTTGGGGCAACCAGGCCAGCGGGGGAGGGCAGTTGGGGGTGACCTGGCAGGCAGGCAGGTGAGCAGTTAGGAGCCAGTGGTCCCGGATTGTGAGAGGAATGTCCAACTGCTGGGGATCGGGCCTAAATAGGCAGTTGGACATCCCCCAAGGGGTCCCAGATTGGGGAGGGTGCAGGCTGGGCTGAGGGGGACCCCCCAACCCCCAGGACATGAAATTCATGCTCCGGGCCTCTAATATTTAATATGTGTGTTAAGTGTTTGTATGCTTCCTCATACATACACAAGTGGCATACACATCCATATTCAGTATCTATGGGCTTATATGTGCGTAGAATATTTCTGAAAGAAAACACCATCTGGAAGGTGAACCAGATAGAAAGTTTGATGCTTCCTTTTCCCCTCTTCTTGCACTATTGGGACTTTTAAGTTTTTTCAGAGTGCGTGTATTACTTACTCAATGTTTCTAAACTTTCAAAATACAGGGTAAACAACTCCCAAAGGGCCAGTTCCCCCCAGTAACTTAGCCTAGTTTCTACAACAGGACTGCTCCCATTCAGGTGTTCCCTTCAAAGTCACTACCTTCGTCTCAGAGCATTAGAAACGTTTTGGCATCATGACGCCTCCAGAAGAGCATTGGGTGACTAGAGAAGAGGAAGAAACATTTCCTAATTTCTTAAAGGTTGCGCTATGTATTTCCTGTGGGAAATAAATCTTTAATAAATGAAAATTCACTAAAGTAGAAAAATAAATAAAACAGTCTAAACCTGTTCACTCCTCATTAAAGGTGAAGAAAACTGTCCCGTAGGGTGGGGGCCTTTGGTGCTGTTTGCCCTCGGGTTGGCACGGCAGTGGCAGGGCTTAGGTACCCATAACCTGTGCTGTTCAGGCGTCCTCATGTGGATCTTCATTGAGCCTCACAGCTTCTGTGGGGGATGGTCGCTGTCTTACCTGAAGTGAATGAACCTGAGGCCTGGGTTGAATGTCAGCCCAGGGAGTGAGAGAAGGAGACGCAGATCCTTGTGTTCCCACATCTCAGGGGAGGAGAGTAGGCCCTGTCGACTAGGAAGAGTGAGCTGCCACCTGAGGTTGCCACTGATGTAGCTGTGGCCCTGGCACAGGGCGCACACTTACCGACATTTTAAGATAGAAGTTGTTTGCTTTGGACACAAGGCACCATTTAAATCTTGGTTTTGCTAAAAATGAACTAGGGATTTCAGTCAAGTCACCAAAATTCTCTCTGCTTCAGTCTGCACATGTAGTAGCTGTCTTACAGGGTCATAGGTGATGCCCTGCCCGCAGCCACTTGGGGTTTGTCCTGGAGGTGAGCCCGACTCCACAGACGTTTCATAGCGTTTCCTAGGCAGGCGGGGCAGGTCCCCCCCAGAACATTGCTGTGAAGGTTCTGAATCAGGGCAGAACCACAGAGAACCCCTCCAGAGCACCCCAAAGCCTTCCCTGATGATTATGAGGTGCCAGCTCTCTGTTGGGCATCCTTCCTCAGTGCGAAAGCAATGGCTTTAATAATGTGATTAGAGCATTAAATATGAGCCTAGAGAGCTGGGTTCTAGCTCAGGCATTAAAGTACTCTGGCCAATAAAAGTAGGGACTTGAACTGTATTGGAACAGCTAACAGACTTAAAACAATGCTACGCAATGAATCCGATTTGGTTAAATTCCATTTTTTTTTTCAACATTTTTCTTTCTCTGCCCATTAGTTTTGAAACTTTCTTTTATCAGCCTGATCTCTTTCCCAGTTGGAGGGGGCGGGGATCTGGTTCTGGTTCTGTTTATTTGGTAGGGTGTCTGCATTTCTTTTCTTTATTTAAAAAAAAAAGTATTTGTATTGATTTCAGAGAGGAATGGAGAGAGATAGAAGCATCAATGATGAGAGGAAATCATTGCTCGGCTGCCTTTGCACACCCTCTACTGAGGATCGAGTCTGCAACCTGGGCATGTGCCCTTGTCTGAAACAGAACCCAGGACCCTTTAGTCTGCAGGCCAACACTCTATCCATTGAGCCAAGCCAGCTAGAACTGCATTTCATTTTTAACCTCTTTTGTTTTGGTAGCTAATAGTTTCCAGTTGTGTTTTATGATAGTATTTCTTTGCCTTGCCTTCCCAAGGTCCAAACATGGAAAACAACAGAAGGAAATATATTACTTGTATTGTCAGTGTAAAATAAAGCTTGTAAAATATATAGTGTTAAAGGTCTCATTGATAACATCTTCAAAGAATGGATGCTGAGTTTTATCAAAGATAAAGTACAGTGATGTAAGTTGGTGAGGATTACGTGGCCATATAAAATATCCTTATATGGTAAACATTACTTGGGCCTTGGTAATAGTATTTCAAGTATAACTTTGTGTACACACCAAATTCTTTTTGTCTCTTTGGGAAAGCCTGGGGAAAGGGCATGTTGGCATACACTTAACAGAAAACACACTTTGTTCACAAGGGGCAGTAAATTTTTATCTATTTTTAAATTGAAGGCTTTGCTTGAAAACATATGAATTATACCCCCACCAAAAGTTCTGTTTTGCTACGTGTAGTTTATTGCATAAAAATTAAGTGTGCTTTTTTAACAAGTGAATATTGTTTCATGTTCTCCATAGATAAAACTGTCTTGCAGTTGATGACTTTATTTGCAAAAACTAGTTCCATATATTTACCTTTCTGTCATCTTGAAACTTATTTTAGATTTGTTTTTCTTGCTTGCTTTAATATTTACCTGATTTTTGTTCGTCACATAACCACACACATGCTGTAAAGGATCTTTATCAGCATAAGTGGGTGGTTTGTTGTGTTTGTGTGTTTTTTTTAACTTAAGTCCAATGAAATAGGAAACTTGGCACATTAGAAATTATGCATTTTAAATTTTTTATTGTTTTGATGCTCACTACATATTGGTCAATGCACATTCTTTTTTTTTCTTTTTTCTTTTTTAACATATTTTGTTGATTTTTTACAGAGAGAAAGGGAGAGAGATAGAGAGCTAGAAACGTCTATGAGAGAGAAACATCGACCAGCTGCCTCCTGTTTTTTTTATCTAATTATCTATGGAGGGGCACTTGGGTTGCTTTCATGGCTTGGTTATCATAAATAATGCTGCAGTGAGGTTGATGTGCGGGGAGGGTTGAGTGAAGTATTCAAACTGATATTTGAGGAAGGAAAATCTGGCAGTGGAGGATAGGTTGTCTGGGAAGAGAATGGTTGGAAGGCGAAGATGGGACTAACATAATGGATCCTAGTAAGAGATATTACAAAGGTGGAATCAGCTAATGAGGTAGCCCCCAAGCATGAAAATGGAAGAATAAAAAATGATGCCAGGTACCAAAATCTGAGATATTAGCTTCTCTCCATGCTTTTATCATTGTCCCTTGTCCCATTCTCCTTTGATTCATCTAGAGTAGAAACTTATAGAAGTAGGGAAGAGGGAGCGATAAGGAGCTTAAAGTGCCAGTCAGGTTAATGTATCCACTACCATAGAGAGAGTGGTGATAACTTTTCTCCTGCATTGATGTTCATAAAATACTGATAGTGTTGCCCTAACTGGTTTGGCTTAGTGGATAGAGTATCAGACTGTGGACTCAAGGTTCCTGGGTTTGATTCCGGTCAGGGGTATGTACCTTGGTTGTGGGCACATACCCAGGGGGGAGTATGCAGGAGGCAGCTGATCGATGTTTCTAACTCTCTATCACTATCCTTTCCTCTCTGTAAAAAAATCAATAAGATATATTTTTTTTAAATATTGATGATGGTGTATTTGAAGCACTGTCTCTTAGGAACTTCAAAAGGGAGCTGGAGAATGGAGCTCCTTGCACTTAACACACATGTGGTCCCAAGCATGTGTGTTTTCACAGATAGCTTCCATCGTTTTCTATGGTGATTTCACTATTGTAAGATAAGCCGTGGACTGATCTGTGATTTTTGACATGAGAAAATAAAGGAATGGATCTAAGCAACTATTCAGACTGCCAAGGCACAAAGCTATGAGATAGATAAAGTATAAGCCGTCGGTGTTATAGTAGTAGTTGGCATGGTGTATAATAAGTATAATATTGCTGGGAGCAAAGCAAATGGTAAAAATCACAAGAATGAGGAGACTCGTCTTGACATACCGCAACCACCTTTGATCATATGCATTAAGCGTCTGAATGATGACTGTGTAGCAGTAGATAATGACCACAAATGGAATTAAGAATCCAAAGAATGCCAAGGAGATGAAGTAGTAGAGTTGGAAGAGAGATGAAGACTCGCATACGTTGTGGACATCGTGGCAGGTGGTGATGTCCCTGTGGACAAGATAATTCTCTTGCTTCAGAATGAAAAACGGCAGCATGGACAAGAAAACAGTTGCCCACACCAGTCCACATGTTACCAAAGCATAGGTGCGCTTGGGCAGCCGCCGGTACGTGAAAGGATGGACAACGGCTAGGTAGCGGCTGACGCCGATGCAGGCGAGGATCAGAATGGAGCAGTACATGTTGCCATAAAAGATGACGGTGATGGCCCGGCACATGACCTCTCCAAATATCCAGTTGTTTCCATTGAGGTGGTAGGCAATTTTAAAGGGCAGCGTGGCACAGAAGAGAAAGTCTGCGGTGGCCAAGTTGATATAGAAGGTGGTCGTACAGATGGATCTGGTCCTGAAAAAGAGCATCCACAAGGTCACGGCGTTGGCTGGCATACCCACTGCGAACACCAGGATGTAGATGGCAGGTATCAGTTTGGTACTTAAGGAGCTGCTCAGATACCCAATGGTGGCATTGCTCACGTGGAGCTTTGAAACACTTCCTTCAGGGCACTTTATTTTTTCAGGTGTGCTTCCTGTCCAGTCTTCGTAGTTAGGAAAGGGGAACGGTTCAAAAACACTTGTGGGAGCTCCTCGATAGGCCCTAACAGGCATTGTTGGCTTTGCCAAGTCCTCTGCATCATTGTCCATACCTGTAATTAAAAAGAAGTATTAACTTATGATATTTTGCTGAGCCATATCTATGGTTCAGAAGACATAAAATACAATGTGTGCAGGGTCATTTGTATTTTTTATTTAAACATATTTTTATTGATTTCAGAGATGAATGTAAACAAAGATAAGCAAGGTTCATAAAGAGATGAAATTTAATAGAGGCATAAGCTTCTGTAGATTATGAATGGGCAGAGGCATAGTAGGGGCTGTCATGGAATCTAGGAATGTCATAACTTAATTCAGCAAATGTTTATTGCCTATTTTACTGCATAAGATATTAAATAAACTCCCTGTCTTCAACTCTCAGATAAGTGAGGAAAGTTACACAAAAATGTAACATATTAATAAAGCTCATCTGAGAGATGAAGTTGAAAGATTAGGTTACAGCCACATTTCTGAAGGGCCCCTAAACTGTCCTAAGAAATGATGTGCCCATTGATAGATGCTGGAATTGTACAAGTAAAAAAATTTTGAACAGAGCGATGACCGCTGTAGTAGATGGCATAGTGGCACCCAAAGATCCCACCTGCTGAGGCCTGGAGACTGAATGTGTCACCTCACATGGCAAAAGGGACTGCAGGTGTGATTAAGGACCTTGGGATGGGGAGGTGTCCTGGATTGTCCAGGTGGCCCAGTGTAATCAGAAGTGTCCTTAAAATGAGGCAAGAGGGTCAAAGTGAGAGAGAGAGATGTTTGAAGACGCTATGCTCCTGGCTTTGAAGATGGAAAGAATCGTGAACCAAGAAATGCGAGGAGCTTCTAGAAAAAGGCAAGAAAACAGATTATCTTCTAGAGCCTCCACAATGAACACTTTGACTTTGGGACTTGTGACCTCCAGAGATATAAGATAACACATGTTTTACTCAAACCACTGATTTGTGATGATTTGTTATAGAAGCAGTTGGAAACTAATGTAACCATGATTTGACTTGTGTTTGAGATGACCTTGTTGACAGTGGAGAGAAGACCTGCAAATGAATAGATAAGAAATTGGAAGCAAGGGGGGCTGTGTCAGAGTCTGGTGCACTCATTTACCCTCAAGACAGTGAGTTGCAGGGCTAGAACAATGGCAGTGGAAAGTTGAAGATGAACACATGAGGCGGTGATGGAGACTCAGTGGCACTTCGCATCTAACTGGGCATGGAGGCGGTGGGGAGAGGCAGCAGGCAAAGATGACTTGGAGGAGGAGGCTGCTCCAAAGGGCAGGGGTCAGCACAAAGAGGAGCGAAGATCTTGGTGTTGGGAATTCCTGAGTTTGAGTTGCTGCTGGGATATTCGAGTGTAAACTGTCCCTAGACAGGTAGAAAGCCTTAGTAGATGTGGAATCCTAAATTTCAAGAATCCAAATGATAGCTATGGATTTTTTAGTCTGCATAGAGGCTGTGGTTTAATTTAGTAGGAGTGGCTAAACAGCTTAATGAGAGGTGTGAGAAGAAAAAAAAATCAAAATGTCAAATTTTTAAGGGAACAGAAGACAAAAGAAGAAAAATCAGACGATGAAATCAATATGATGATCTGAGAAGTTGGAAATAGGGGGAAAATGCATAAAAACACGACCACATACTATAAATATTTGGCATTACATGTCCAGTTGTTATTACTCATTCTTGAAAGTGCAGTTTCAAAAACAAAACAAACCTCAGTACTCAGATCTGTTTACCATTATGTAGTTTTCCCATAAATTAATCTTTGACATGTATAGAAAGTAGATTCTCTCAAATGTGTTACCTGAGGCAAATTTTTATGCTGAATTTAAACTTACTACTTGCCAATTTTACATGCTATTTCTCTGCCAGTTCCTTTTCATGTGTCCTCTGAATTCCTATGTGTTGAATACTTGAGGTGTAGTGTTCAGTAACCTGGTTCTCATTCAGAACGATTTCTCTTCCTGTTTTCACCGCTACCATTCACCCCAGGTGAAAAGGAAGCCTCCCTCACAAACGGAATTCAGCTTGAGATTGCACAAACTGAATGAATCCGGTGTGTCACAAAAAGGGAGAATTCTGCCTGAACAAACGGGCAGGGAGGTGCTCAGTGCTATGTAGGGGAGAGTAGATTAAAGAAAAGAAAAAAGAACTGGGAAGTGGCAGTGCTTTGTGCCTGTGTAGAGGTGAACGGTGAGGCAGGTTGAGGCACATGGTGTGACACTGGAGTTTAGCCACACACATTCTTTTGCTCAGCTTGCATTTTGGGAAATTTTTGTGCCTGACATGCCCCAAATAGAATGTACCTTTCTAGATAAGCATGAAGCTGATAGATGGTAGCTGAAGAATATCTTGTTCATGATCTGATAAGAGAGCTTTGAAGCCAAGTGTTTGTCAGTTTTCAGAAAATTCCAGTGATTGAGCAAGACATCACGCAAAAAAACAACAACAAAAAAACAACAACATGCTAAACACGGACTCTGACAGTCTGGATTCCATTTTCCATGAGAATTTCAGCTGATCTGATTCAGCTTGAACAGGTCTAAGGTGGTTTTCCTTAAGAACAGTACTCACTGTAAAAGCAAATTTTAATTGACTTTAGAGAGAAAGAGGGAGGGAGATTGATCTGTTTATTCCCCTGTTGATGCATTCATTGGTTGATTCTTGCACGTGCCCTGACGGGGGATCGAACCCACAACCTTGACATATTGGGAGGACATTTTAACCAATTGAGCTACTCAGCCAGGGCCAAATCTTATTTTTTTAATTTGTTGAATTCTTTATACAGGTTTCCATTTAACAAAATGATTTGAGAATGTTTGCCAACCGGGGGAAGACCGGAAAGAGGCCCTGGTCCAAAGGGAGTGGACCTGAGCCCGGTCCCGTTTCTCCCCCACCCAATCGAAGAAAGTAAACTCACTGCCTTTCACTTAGTCACATTTGAATTCTTCCCCCCTTTTCACTTCCTCCAAACCCCACTGGCATCTTGAAGGAACCTCTTCAAGGCTCTTTTCTTTTAGGATTCCACTGCATTTTGGTTCATCCACTCCCAGAAATAGCATTCACTTAATCCTATTCATAAACCCCACATGTGCTACCATCCCCGATTCTTAGAGTTCTCCTACATTACAACTACCTCAGTGACTCCAGCTGTGAATTTTAGCGACATTCCTTAATAGAGGTCTGGAGTTTTTATTTAATTTTGGGTTCTCCCCCTCTCGTTGTTTCTCTGCCCAGCTCTCCTGCTCCTAACAATGTTGACTATATTGTAACCTAATGGTAAGAGTTGCAGATGCAGATCTATCCTAGGTGGTGTTGAATTAAATAGAAAAACATTAAGAGTTGAGTAATAGTATACGGGAGATTTCATTTCTAAAATCATATTTGAGGGCAGGGAAAACTATAACTCTCTAGTACCACTGAAAACAAAACAAAACGGTATCTTCTTAAGAAACACTAATTTATTAGCCTTGTTGATTATCGAAAGCAGACCACTTGATCTCTGAAAATATTCTTTTTTTCCCCTTTATACCTCACCACAAAGTATACAGGTAGGATTTTTTAAAATCCCTTTAAAAAGTGCTATTTTTGCTGAATCAGGGGAAATGGTTAGAAAATCAAAAACCTCTCACAAAGGAAATTCACTAATGAATTAATGGTAGAGATCGGGACCCCCACTCGACCCCATAAGAAAAGGGCTTACCGCTTCCACAGAAAGTGGGTGACAGAAGCATGGCTCCAGCGGCTGCAAAGATGAGGGCTTTCATTTTGACCCCCTGCGTCCTGTTTCCCAAATGTTATAAAATTAAGGAGCACGGTTTCGCCCCAGCTCCATGTGGAAATAGCAAATGGGAGCTGTGCTCTGTGAGCTGCGCTTCTGTGCTCCGCAGGCAGGAAGCTGGCCGGGCCCAGGACCTCTTCAGGGAAGGGGTGTGATGGCCAGCACTCAAGTTTCAGGGTGGATGACTCAGAGGGAGCCTGGGACATGACACTTAACTCTTACCCACCCCCAGGAGTCCCTTCCGAATGGGTGCTGTGAATTCCTCCCGCATGCTTATGTGCGTTGAAAGAATGCAGAGAGTGTACAGTCCTTGGCAGAAGTAAACTGAAAATACAGGCTGCCCAGCAGTGTTCACGCTGTCTCGTATCTCATTTTATCCATTTAAAAAAATGCAATGTCCACTTAATAATCAGTTTTCAGAAATGGTCCTTTATCCTCCCAGCTATTTCACATCTTAATTCTGAAACTCATTATATAATTACAAATTAAATACATTATGGAAAGCAACTATTTTTTATGAAGTGAAAATTGACAAAGTGCCGATTACTCTGAAAATTCTTCATCAGTATCACAATGGCCCGAATATGTCATCGGTGGTTGGCCAGAACTTTTGCCATAGCTCATCGTATTCTGAGCCATTCTCTAGGGTCAGATAGTGTGTGTGTGTGTGTGTGTCTATGTGGTGTGAAAGAAGGAGTCAAAGAAAGGGGGTAAAACCACACTATTTGATTAAAAGCAAATCATAATACATTGAGATGCCGATGACTCCCTTTATTCCATGGGTGTTGGTAAGCAGGTCTACAATAGGCTTTGGGTTTTTTTAATTGTTGTGAAATATACAAAATATAAAATTTACCATCTTAACCATAATTTAAGTGTTAATATATTAAATTTCACACCACTCAGTAGTGTTCAGTATACTAGTAGTCACATTATTGTGTAACATATAAGCTTTTATGAGTAGTTACATTCTGGAGGATATGATTTAATATTTAGAAAAAATACTGCCTTATAACAATTTTCCTAAAATTAATAAAATTTTAAGGTTAAATGCTAAGCCAGGCAACTCGTCATATATATTAGCCATATTAGCCATATATATATATTTATGGCTAATATGCTAAATGTCCACTGGGGAGTTTGAGTGTGAGTTTGATCACTCACTATGATGTGTTCTGACCACCAGGGGGTGGCACAGAATGAAGGAAGGCCCTGGCTGGCAGCCAGAAGGCCCCAAACGGCCCCAGTTGCCAGCCAGGCCTAGGGACCCTACCAGTGCACGAATTTCGTGCACCGGGCCCCTAGTTGCCTATAAAATGCAGCAAGAATCAGAAAATTGCAAATTCCACATGAAGCTGAAAGGCTTGAGGGATAAGCTAAGGAGGAATTGATCTGTGCAAACTTTTCACACCTTGATTAAATTTCACCCCACCATGTTTTGCAATCAAACGTAAGTCTTTCAGCTTGGCTGGTGCAGCTCAGTGGTTGAGTATTGACCCATGAACAAGGAGGTCACAGTTTGATTACCATGCCCAGGTTGTGGGCTCAATCCCCAATTGTGGGTATGCAGGAGGCAGCCGATCAATGATTCTCTCTCATCGATGTTTGTCTCCCTCTCTCTTTCTCTCTCTGAAATCAATTTTTTTTTAAATTTTAAGTCAGTCTTTAATACTTCAACAACATAACATATGGTAACACACACTGAGAAAGGATGCTATTTTGTTGTAGAAATAATAACCAAAAGACCACAAAATATTGAGGAGAGGAGTATTTTTTTTGTTTAAAATTTTCTAGGAGTCACCTAGGTTCAGGAATGTATGACTTGATTTGCAGATGGCCTAGTTTCCGCTCAGTTTTGAGATGCTGGTGGGCTGAACTAGAGGGGTGACGGGAAGGGAGAAGTGGTTGTGTTGGGGTCTACTTCATTAGTAGCTTGTAGAGTGTATTGGCAGAATTTGGTAGTTGCTAAATAAGAGCTTATGGAAATTATAATAAACTGGCTCCTTAAAAGCATTTATTGTTTCATCATCATTCACTATTTTTTTTTTCTTTTATTCTATGACAATATTCCCAGAACCCTGCTTCTAAAATTCTTTGGCTGGATGAGATACAGAACGCAGTCTATGAGGCCAACAAGGACAAGGACAAAGCAAAACAATGTAAGCCCTCGCCTCCTTTTGCTGGCCCATCTTGCCTTGCTTGTATCTGGTTATACTTCTGAATTTTTATTTTTATTCATAATCTTTTTAATGCATAAGTTTCAATTTCTGAAAAGGTTGGACTTCTACCAATTTGAGTTCTTGAATTCATATGTGTACAACAATAGGATTCATTGGTTGCACTATTTTCAATGACTAGGTGCTCTTTCCAGCAAAATCTGAGAATGTAACCTAACAAAACCCAGGAATCAAAAAATGGTTTCTAAATTTTCAAATTTATAGGCCAATCAAGTCCTTTTTTTTATCTGGATCTTAAAAATCTAACCCAGTTTTGGTCAATAAATCTTCGTCCTCCCTTCCATGCCTTTCATTGTATTAGTCAGCGTTTTCCAGAGAAAGAACTACATAAATAATTTTTTTTCCTGGAAAATAACAACTACAAGGATAGATGATAGATAGATAGATAGATAGATAGATAGATAGATAATCTCTGTTTCTCTAGAAAGTGTATTGTATGTATACATCTATCTATACTGCACATACATATATGGAGAGAGAAAGGGAGATTTCTTTTTAGGATTTGGCTCATGCAATTATGGAGAGGCCAGCAAAAGCTGGGTGGCAACACTTAATCACCTAAAGACAAATGGATGCAATTTATAATGAACAGCAGAGTGAGTGCAGTAATCAGAACAGTCTAACTCACAGAGACCTATGGAATTGGCTAATTGAACATGGTGCTCCTAGAAATGAAAGAGACAGTCTACTAAATTCTTACTTGTATAAACGGAAGAAGAATTCGAGGTCAAGTGAATGGAAATATAACTTGGATTATAAAACAGGAAGTCATGGCCCCTTAATTAGTTTATAGACCCAGAACTCCCTGAGGAAAGGGAAGGTGAGATCCCCTTGAGAAAGAACTCTGCTACACTAACACATTTTTAGCCTGTTGATCTTTCTCCCAGTCTTTCCTCAAAAAGATCTATGGCCTTTTATCATGTGACTAGAGGCCCAGTACACAAAATTTGTGTAGTGGGGGTGTCCCTCAGCCCAGCCTGCATCCTCTCCAATCTGGGACCCCTCAAGGATATCCAACTACCTGTTTAGGCCCGATCCAGTGCGATTTAGGCCCGATCCAGTAGGATCGGGCCTAAGTGGGCAGTTGGACATCTCTCTCATAATCCAGAACTGCTCACTCCCAACTGCTCACCTGCCTGACTTCCTGATTGCCCCTATCCGCTTCTTCCTGCCAGCCTGATCACTCCCTAACCATTCCCCTGCCAGCCTGATTGCCCCCAACTGCCCTCCTCTACTGGCCCAGTCACTCCTAACTGCCCTCCCCTGCCAGCCTGGTCATCCCAACTGCCCTCTCCTACAGGCCTTGTCCCCTCTAACTGCTCTCCCCTACTGGTCATCTTGTGGCAGCCATCTTGTCCACATGGGGCAGCCATCTTTGACCACATGGAAGCAACCATCTTGTGTGTTGTAATGATGGTCAGTTTGCATATAACTCTTTTATTAGGTAGGATTGTGCTGGGGGAGAAAGAACATAGTCAAACTTTTCAGGGATTGCTGAATCCTGAAGTGACACTAATTCCAGGAGACCTAAAATGTCATTGTGATCAGAGTAGTGGCTTACGGAGGCCAGCTGACCAATGAAGTTTCAGCTCAGTTCCATCTTTCAGAGCCCAGTGGGTCCCAAACCCATCCTGGGATTTCAGTCCAGATGAATAATTGGAATGGACATATTCAGCAGCTGGCAGAATCCCCACATTAGCTCAAATGAGAACAATTTTTTTATGCTATGCCTCTGTTTCATAGAGAAATAATAGAAAATTCACATGGCAATCTAAAATAGCTTCAAGATTACTAACACTTTACATATATGAACAATCTACATAAAATAAGATTCCAAAAGGGCTAGTTCATTGAGCTGTCCATTCATGGTATAGCTATAATGTATACTGAGCTATTAGGTCATAGATTGCTGTTGAGATGCCTTATTCTTGCTCCAGAGATAGGCTTTTAAATTTTGGAAGCATCTGTGAGGAACATCTGGTTTTTATTTCCTTAGCCAGGAAAAATATGTGTATTTTTGCAACCTGGACTTTTATAGCCTTAGGATCTTTGAAGTCTTTTTGTTCTAGCACTGTAATTGTTAAGAAAAAGAAAACAAAATTGAGATGTGTACATAAGTGATTTAAATATAAAACTGAAAGCAATGTAGTTTGAAGAAAGACTTTTAAGAAATTGGATTTTAATACAGGTACTCAAGCAGCCTGCAATTTTTTTTTCTTTTATTCCTTTTATTCTGTGTTCTTCTTATATTTCGCCTGCAAATGATTCTGTTTTTTTACATGAGACTCATGGTTCTATTTATTGACTGTGAAAGTAAGAGGTTTCCTCAGATGTATGATTTTGTACTCTTGCACATTTAAAATCCTATCTAATACCTCGGTCCCGTCCCTCAGAGGAGTTGATATAGTTTCCTCTGTGTTGTATGACAACAAAGAGATGATCTGAAGATAAAATCGCTGTATATTCTGACACTGAGATGAGAATTTTTCAGTTTCTTAACAGGAATTTAATCTCACTTTTAAAAGCATTTTTCAGCCTTTGTAGGAAGACTTGAAACAGATTCTGGTCACATGTTATAAGCATCAATCCCACGCCCAGATAATTTGATCAAAGAAAATGTGTTGGTCCATATACTTTACCAAGGGTGAGATCTATTATAAAAGGGCAGAGGTTCATTTTGGCCCAGTGTTCATTTTCACTGGAGCATTTTGCTTTCTTAAAGTAGGTTTCTCTACTTTTGACGACCTTTTCCATTATTGCACCGTAGACATTGGTTTCTCTCATTGGACCTCACCATGAATTTTTTCCCCCCCTCACCATGAAATTGTAATACCACAGATATATTGTATATATGTTTGTATGCCATATGTAGATCTGTGCTTTATACATAAAAATACTTTTTTACCTTCTTTTCC